TAAGCTGTGTATACAGAAATACCAAGGGAAAACAGGTGATTTCTTCTTCTAAGTCTGTGATGTTGTCCCTGTAATAGTTTCTGTATATACATATAGCAGCATGCCATCAGAAAATACTGACAAATTGTCTGGAATGTGTGCAAATAACACCTATGCTCTCAGGGGAATAGTTGTTCCTCTCTTGCTGTGTTGTCTAACAGAAATTTGGGTCAGGAGCCTACAAATGGGAACGGTGAATCTCTCAAGAAAGTAAAGGAGCTTCTTAGTCAAGTCAAAAGTGACATAGCTAAGAATGGGAAGAAATTAATACTGGGCCATGTAAACAAGGTTTCATCAGGGAAGTCAGTATTTTATCCAAGAAAATGCATCTCTTAAAAGCGTGTTGGTGGAAGCTTCATCGCCTCTCAAGGAAATGGGCTGGTCTAAAGCAAAAGTGTTGATGTGTCTCAGGGACAGCTGTTCTCTGTACAAGAAAAGGACTGTGTCACTTATTAGAAATATTTCTGTGTCTTAAACATTATGCTCAAAAAGTAGAGTGCTTTTTCTCTCAGTAACTCAGTGGTTCTTTACAAAGGGACAGGAAAGATGGAATAGAATATTTTCCATTGGAAGGGACCTACAGTGATCATCTAGTCCAACTGCGTGATCACTTCAGGGCTGACCAAAAGTTAAAGCATATTCCTAAGGGCACTGTCCAAATGCCTCTTAAACACTGACAGGCTTGGGGCATCGACCACCTCTCTAGGAAGTCTGTTCCAGTGTTTGACCACCTTCTCAGTAAAGAAGTGTTCCCTAATGTCCAGTCTAAACCTCCCCTGGCGCAGCTTTGAACCATTCCAATGCGTCCTATCACTGGATCCCAGGGAGAAGAGCTCAGCACCTCCCTCTCCATGTCCGTCCTCAGGAAGCTGCAGAGCACAATGAGGTTGCCCCTCAGCCTCCTGTTCTCCAGACTGGACAAACGCAAAGTCCTTAGCCGCTCCTCGCAGGACATACCTTCCAGCCCTGTCACCAGCTTTGTTGCCCTCCTCTGGGCGCATTCACATCCTTCTCAAATTGTGGGGCCCAGAACTGCACACTGTACTCCAGGTGAGGCCGCACCAATGCTGAATACAGAGGGATAATCACCTCTCGACTGTTTGGTGTACCCCAGGACACGGTTTGCCCTCTTGGCTGCCAGGGCACACTGCTGACTCTTACTGAGCCTGCACAAGCACCTGGGATAATTCCTGTACACATCATGATGGACATTATATCCAGACCTCAGCTGAAACGAATGATTTGTTGAATATACGGTATCAGAGATGGTTTTTACTGCAGTTAAAGTGCCGTAAATTTCATCTCTGTGGTGAATTTCTCCTCATGGAGCAACTTTTACAGCCCATATAGATGCAAATTTTGCCAAGATTAGATGACCATTTCCAAACCTGAATAGTTGGGATTTTTGGTAGTGTTTGATAAGTTTCAGAGTTAACTATGTTGAACAATGATGTAAGAATCACGGAAGAGCATTAGTGCATTTGAGCAGAATGTTAAGGAAACTGAATGACATTTGCTTAAGGTATTGAGTTAGAAAAATACAAATGCAAATATCATATGAAGTGTCTGGCTCTTAGAACAGCAGTAAAAAAGATTTAGTGTAAGCTAACATAAAAAGTATACCCTTTTCTGCTTAAATTTACTTCTTGAATCCAAATTGTTTTGTATTTATAGTGCATGTTGCATAATTTCAGTATATTTTTAGGCCAGTAGGAGCAGTTTTCTTTAAACAGCAGATTTCTCTTGCATTCAGTGTTCAACTTCATTCTTTTAACAAGTACATTTGTTAGACTCCAAATGAGATGTAATTTTTGAACTTTGTCTTATGGTGAACTCAAAGATAAAGCAAATGAAGCAGTTCAGAGGTTAGGGTTAATTCCATGCAAAGAGACTTTTCAGATATATTCAATCATTTGCTTTTCCTATTATTCATGTTCATACACCTGACTTCTGCTCCTTCACATTTGTGCTGTTGATAGTGAGCAGATAAAATCACCAAGGTTTTAGTCATCTGACAATTCAATAACAAGCTGTCTTTAGTATGTATATTGTACAGTGCTGATAAATGATGATGAAGTTTCTGCCACTTCACTGAATATTTTGGAAATGGTATTCAAGGCTTAGAAAAATGACAGGCTTTTGGCTTAGACTTGGAAACTTTTATTCTCATGGACTTTGCATATTCTGTGTCAAGTCTCTTGACTTTCTCTGTGCTGGTTTTTGCAACGATGTAGTCAGTAGAACATACCTGCCCTTGAGTTAAGTTTACAATTAAATATCAGAATGATTGGAAAACCTCAAATGAGAAGCAGAATAGCTGTTGAAAAATACTTAGTTTTTATCCTTGAGTGCCAATTTTCTTGACTCAGAACAATTCTCAAGGCATGAATCAAATAGTCTTGGTTTTGCTCCAGTGGACAGTTTCCCGAAGTGCTTGACTAGAGCAGAATTGACTGGTGGTGCTGATTGAGCTGGTGAGTGGTGCTTGCTTTCTGTGAAGAGTGGTGGTGTTTTATCCCTATCCATGAATGGACAAAGCGTATTCATTGCTGCTGGGGTTGTTCCAAGTTGGAAATGTATGACCTTGCTCCTCAGAGCAAACTACTTCCTTTATAGTGGAAGTAGTTCAGTTACAAGCTTGCTTTGGAGAAAACAATGACAATATCCGTTTTAACCTGAGTTTTTTTGTTAGTGTTTGGGGTTTTTTTTTTCAATATTTCTTGACAGTATATATGAAAAATGGATGTAGAGGGCAAGTTACATATACAAATTTCATTAAAGTACTGCCCAGCTTAATCTATAAAGCAATCCAACTTGCCCTAATATCTAATACACATTATAATTACTTTTTATGCTTTTCCCTTCATGAGTAATCACAATCAATTTACTGAAAATGTGTTTTGCTGGAGTTTGCGTTGGGGAATTGCTTTGCCTACAGACATCCAAGTTGCCATGACATTGTTTCAAAGATGTCTTTCATTTTCTTTATTCTTGTAGAACAACTGTAGTTTGCAATTGCAGTAAGTGACAAGCAGATAACTATCCAAAAAACTGAGGTCCACCAATAGGTTCCCGAAGTGAAGATTTGTTTTAATTTGTTAAAACCCTGGAAGGACAGGGATGGGATTTCTCCTTAATATAACAAGTATATCATTGGTTCTGAAAACTTGAGACTTCCAGAACACCACTATGCTTCATACAAATTACAGCTACATAATCCAGTGTATGTTTGGTCAAGTTCATTGACCTGACTTGCAAATATCATTCGTGCTTTGCTGCCTCATAACATGACAGGCATGTTAAATGATTTAATCTGCCCCACTTTGTAACCTGTACTGTGTTAACCTCTTTCCTAATGTGATGGAACAGAAAGTGTCCTTGTAAAAGGATAAATGAACGCTGTTATGCTCTAGTGATCCACTCAGCACATATTGCTGGGTGGAGAATTTGCACACTGATCCAAAAGTGATAAGGGTCAAAATAAGTGATTTTTCAGTTTATTACTTGCATGTGTCACTGAGCATCTTTTTGGTTTTTACATTTAGGATGGAACGTGAGTGGTTTTAATGTGTACTTTGTCTAGATAGGGGTTGCCTACTAATTTCTAGATCAAGTAGCGGTTTCTGATATTACTGGGAAGGTCTGGATTCTTCAGTCTCTCTCCTCTACTCTCTAGAGGAATCTTGTACAATCCTCTAAGTCTGCTTCTCGAATGGCAGACTTGCGCCACAGAGTTTGTAGCTGTTAAACCACCTTTTTTTCTTTTTCTTTTCTTTTATAATGTTCCCCTATGAACCCTGCTCTCGCAGGCTATTTAGGACAATATGCTACTTCTCTACCTGTCTGTCTCATCTTAACATGCTTCATAGCCCCCTGGCTGAGGACATCATTCTCCTGGCAGGAGCTTCTCCTTTTTAGTTCAGTCCCATCTTTGCAATGTGATTAAGGCTGCCTTATGTTCCCAGCTGTGCTATGTGTGCTGCTAGTTTGAAGTTACGAATTCTCTTTGAAACAGATTCAATGTTCTCAGGCAACTTGTGTGCATTAATTGTTTCTGAGTTGAATGGTTAAAGGAAGTTAGTAGGCTCTGAGTCCAGAACTGTCAAAGACACACCCCCTCACCCATGAAGCTAAAATAGATATTAAACCAGTGCTAGATTTTGTAAATCAAGGATAAGCAAAAAAAGGGGGAAGTAAGAATTGTGTTCCATATTTCATACAAAGATATGCCGAAAGCATAACTAGACGTTTGTCTAGAGAAGGTCATAGAATGAATTTCATCTTCACTCCCCTGCCCCAAAAGAAGAAAGAAATGGACGTGGTTTTGTCTAAAGAGGTTTGTATAGTCTTTTGCTAAAAGCAGGCAGTTGTATTGGCCTTCTGCTTTTTAGGACTCTTTTGGAAGGGAATGAAGAGAAACGAAAGTGTTTTTCATCGGTGAGAGAAAATTTCTTAAGTACAGTACAAGCTGAAATTATCGTTCTTTTTGAGATTAATAAAAAAATTACCTTTGGTTTATCTTTTTTGTATCAACAGCTGCACCCATCCATTTATTTAAGTATGGATCAGATAACTTAGTTTTGTAAGTATCAAAAACAGTTTGACAGGCCAAGCAATTAAAGGTTTTGTAGAAGCTTTTAGAGTTCGGTTGATGGTTACCTAAGGCAATTTGATTAGTCCACAGCCCTTATAATCACTATCGTAGCCATGCTGGAAATGCTTGTTTGGTAAGTATGCTGTGGAAGTCTGATTCTTCCCAAGGGCAACATAAGTAACATCGAATATTTTTTTTTCTTAGACATTTATTATAAGAATGGCACTGAAATATCTTTTTTTGCCACCTCAGAATGAAAGCTTTTTCTTACCTGATCAAACGGTATGAAACCCAAAGGAGAGAATAAGCCAGGTTATTTTAGTAATTTATCTCTTCCTGTTGTTTTTGTTTTGCTTTGTTTTAAAAGGACTAACCAGCCGGGAATGTTCACAAAGAAAGAATTTGATCAGTTGGCCTCAGCAATAGACAGCTTCAGTCTCATGACATACGACTATTCAATACCACAACGGTAAGACTCCATCTAACATTAGAAAAAGATTGCTGAAGGAACTGATTCCCAGTTAAGTCACTATTAAATCTACAGTATGAGTTCAGTGGATAGTGTGTTTTAACTAGATCAGATACTAAAGTTTTGGATTAGTAATTAGGATAGGTGATTTTTGAACAAGCGAATAACTCAGGACATTGTTTAATAGCAGTGTGTATTTGGCACCCAGATATTGTGAAAGGCTTTGTAGTCTAGTTGAAAAATTATCCTTTTACGAGTTCCATAACACTCTTTTCCAGGCCAGGTTCTTTTGTTTTTAGTTATTTAGCACAGTTCTGCAGGATAGGTACAAGAATAATCTAGTACATGTCATTGTTGAAAAAATTAGCTTTAAAACACAATTGATAACTCATTTGCTTCATCCTGAGGCAGCAGACTGCCTTTTGGCAGCACTGCTAATGTGGACATGCTTGAATATGTTTTTCCATTCTTCCACTAGTCCCTCCCTTGTACTGATACAGCTGCTCGTGCAGCAGTTCATCAAACCAGATCAGGGAGCTGATCTAACTGAAAAACAAACCCCCACTCTTGTACATGAATATTAATTTTAACTGTGTGAAAGTGGAACAGCAATGTAGTTGAGAGGTCCTTAAACTCTACAGAGACTTTTTATGTTACTGTTCTCCAGAAGCATGGTTCATTTCCCCTTCAAATTGCAGGTGAGATATGCTTTTGGAATTCCTGGGAGATTCTGTATATCTTGCTTCAGGGTGGCTGTCCAGAGTTAATATTTCTGGTAAACTGGCAGATTTAGAAATGCCATCATTTTTGTGTTTATTACATCACTAAAACCTTTGTCACCTGTACTATATTAGCATTTTGATAATGTCTAGGCAGGTTTAACAGAAAGGAACTTTTGTCTCTTCTGAAAAGAATTTATATACCTCCTTCCTCTCTCTCCCCAGGCCTGTCTCTACATCTTCAAGCCTAGCGACCTAGGGGAGAACAAACATAGGCAGTAATGTGTACTGAAATTAGAAGAGTTTTTTGTTACTCTCCTGCTGGAATATGCAGCATAGATATATCCAGTTTAGCTTTCCTCTAGGTAAATCTGTCATCTGTGAAGGTGAGGTGCTAAGGGCTTTTGTACAGGCTATACAAACCCATCTGGAACCCTGAATGCATTTTGAAATACTGTGCTATAGGCTGCATCTTTCCTGTGTGGCGAAGCTGCACCATGCTTTATGCCATGTTAAAATCACAGGTTCTGTTATAGTACAGGCACATCTTTATGCTTTTACTGGCGCTCTAAGTTACTTAAACTTGACTTGAAGCTGCTAATCTTTTTTACTTGAAAGGAGGAAGGAAGCATTCTTCAGTGCACACCCATTGTATTTGAAATAAATGTAGTTTCTGAGATGTAACGCTTTTAGTCTGAGAAAGGATTTGATAAAACAGATTCAATCTTCTTTGCTTGAATTTGCTTTGATTGGTCTGAGTATATGAAATACAGTATAATACATATGTTTTCTCACAATTTTTTTGCCTTTAAATATGAACACAATTTCCAGCAACATTCCTGTACTGTGTTAGCACATTGAGTTTTAATGGCACAGATATCATGAAGGCTTTGAGGCAGATAATTAGTAGGGAGTAGAAGATGTTGATATTTGTAAGACTAGAATATGCTTTTCCTTTTATCATGTTAGTGAGTGCCTTTTATCATGTTAGTGAATGTTTGCAATAAAGCCTGCTCTGCTCTCTGATGAGATAGGAATGGAATGAGCACGATATCCTGGTGCTAGATGTATGACAATTCAATTACTCTGTGTATTAAGACTCTACTCTTTTTCTTAATGTAGCTTTTTGTTAGGTAATTGCCTATTTAGGGTTTTATCCATAAATAAGTGTTAAACAATCATTGAAACCTGTCTTGCTTACCAGTCACTGATTTTTATAGTTCTTTCTGTAAGTAAATGGTGGATTTTGTCCCAGTATGTTGTGCCGGTTTACAGTAAAAACATTGAGGGTGGTATTGGAAAACAAGTGAAGTCGTACAGAGTTTTGAATTATTGTGTGGGCATTGTGCCAGGCCCAGTGACAAAGACAATGTGTTAGGTGGAAACCTTTTCTTACCCACTGTAAGAAGTTTTGTGTCCCTTCACCTTAGAAATGAATCACAAAGTCAAGAGTGGGGCAAGCATATTTTGTGCATCAGTACTTCAAGCCACTGAAGAATGTGCATTAAACCTTCATAGGATTGTAGGTTAACCTTGACTGATTTTTGTGTGCCATAGTTTGCTCTTTACAATTACACTAGTCAAAAAGAGAAGGCTGAGAATGAATGTGTACTTTTTCTGACAACCTGTTTGATTTTTACTAACTTGACAGACCTGGTCCAAATTCCCCTCTTCCCTGGGTACGAGCCTGTGTTCAAGTGCTGGATCCTGATTCAAAATGGAGGAATAAAATACTTCTAGGGCTGAACTTCTATGGCATGGACTATTCTGCTTTGGGAGCTTCTGGGGAGCCAATCCTTGGTAGCAGGTAAGACTTCTCTGGATAGTAAGTACTTATGTATGATATATTCTTGCAAAACTCAGAAATTCACAAGTATTCTTGTTTAGAAATATGGATGTGTTAGTAACATAGAAATGGCAAAAGTGATAAATCTGCACATGAAATAGTAGCTCACCAGTTAGAGCAAGACCTGTAACTTCTCTTCCCTGTACAGAAGTGCAGATAGATGGCACAGTTATCTTGTCAGAACTCCTGTGGAAAAATGATTTGTGTAGTTTTCCCTCTTTCCTCTATTCATGTTTGTACATGCAGTTTGCCATCTTTGTGTTAAAATGTTCTGCAGTATTCTCTTATGCTCTGTGTCATTTTGGGGGTTCATGCAGTTGACCTAAAGATTCTTTCTCTCAGCTGCTGAAGTTGTTAGCTGTTACTTTGAAATTTGATACTGGTTTCAAAGAGCAATATGCCACCAAGTTTCTTTTGAGTAGAAAAAGCTGCAATAAGCTCACCTGGAGACAAAAATCTATAACAAGATAAAGGGAAGTATTCCAAGGCCAGCCTGAAATTTTATATTGATTCTCAGAGGAAAATGTTTGTTTTAGTTTTTGGTAATAACCACCTATAATAACAGTGAGCTTTGTAGAAATACTGTCAGGGTATAGTACATCAAGCCAGAAGAAAAAGCAAGAAAAACAGTGTGAATTTGGCAGGAAAATCAGGTTTGTTCAGAAGTTTGTTATTAATTTATAAAATAGAACCAAGCCAAGTGGAAACAAACCTAAAGCACAAGAGATGACTGTTCTCACTTTCACAGGTTACTAAATTCATTACACCAGGACATTTCAATATAGTTACAGATTGCTTGTTAGGCATTGAAATACTATCTGAGGTGGATTGTATAAGGTAAAGGCCTGAATTTTTTATGTCCATGCCTTCAGTTACACAAACACTTTGTGATCATTGCACTCGCCTCTGCTGTCTTCCTGCTTCACCTTGGTAGACACAGTCTTCTCCTAGTGCTGAATTGTGTCTGAATCTGGCTGAATAACAGAAAATGACTACAAGGTGGGGAAAATAAAGCCATTGTCTACAGTGAAAGGTATATAGTGAGTATATCAGAATATGGGTTCTGTGAAGTTAGTTGTAATGGTTAGGCAGGAAAAATACTCAATAATCAAAGCATTGTTCATTTACAAGCCTAATTATACAAGCTCAGCACGATTAATGTGGCTTCACTGTAATATTTACAGTTCCTTTTGCAGATAGGAGTATAGCACTCTCTAGCAGAATAAAAGGATCTTGCTTTTTTCTGAACTGCAACTTTTGGAATGAAGTTTCCACTTGAAAACATACTGCACACGAGGATGGCATCTACTTTTACTTTTTATAGATTCTTCTGGACTATGTTATAGTATTAATTCATGTTGCTTTTTAATTAATGGCAAAAATATCCTAGCTAACAGTCATGTATGATTAATCTAACTTTTACCGAAAGAGGCTATGTCTACCTGTATGTAGGGCACTGGCGCACAGTATGGGACAGTATGTTTTATACAGAGAATGGTCCTGTTAACATATTCTTCATTGACAGACCATGATATTGTAATTTTTCAGATATCTACGAGAAGCAAGGTTCTGGACAAAGTCTTTAAGAGACTTTGAGTTTATACATAAAACACATTAATTTTCACTTTACCTATTAAGTGTCGGTCAATGGTTAAGTTTATTTTTGCAGAAATATATTTTTGAGCATGCACAGTTATGTATTAGTCTTTGCTGTATATGTCATGTGTAGTAAAGTAATAGTAAAATAGGTTCAAGGTAAACCAGATTCAAAATAGGCCAAGCTTCTGACATAAGAAAACAGAAAAAAGGTTATTGGTGTAAAATAAGCTTTCTGCCACTTAATTGGTAACAGGCTGTTTGTAAGGAAGTCCTAGTTTCTAGCATCTGTGAGTCTTTGAAAACTTTCACTATCGCATCCAATTGAATCCCAGAATGGGCACAGCTTGTTCAGAGATGCTCTTCCCCCCTCCCTCCAAAAAGGTTCCGTCCTATTCCTTTATTAATACTCTGGCTACATCATGTTTTTTCTGTTCTCTAATAAGACACATGGCTGAGGCTGATCCTATTCCTTCTCATTTTTGTATCTGCTTCATACTACATAAAAAGGCTGCTTAGAAGCTGTGTCCAGCGTAGAAGTGGATGGCTTGTATTTATTTTTCTCACCTTGGCTCCTTAGTGAATTTGAGCTTCCAGTTTCTTGGTGGTTGTAATCCAGTGTTAGTCATGACCTGTAAAAAGTGTTGAAGGTTTGAGTCATGGCTCCTTTAAGGCACCCTCCATATGTTGTAGTGATAGTGATGTTAAGGTAAAGTACTGGTATTAAAATTAAAAATCTATTCAGTTAAGTGCAGCATGGTGGGTATCAACTTTTTTGTTGTAGGTTTCTCTTCAGGTTTTTGCATCTGAAATTCATTGCATGTGTACATGCAATACGGGTCTCCAACATGCCAGTGCTCCTTGGCACACTGTAAGGTGCACACTGTCTTGTTGAAGCATATTCATCGGAATCTGATAATCTTTAATAAGAGAGCTGGAGAATTGTAAGCTTCAGTGGCAAACTGTATATTCTCAAGTTGTTTGATGTAAATGTAATATGCCCTTAAATTGATTATTACTGTATCTTATACGTAGGATTACATGCAGAGTGCAGAAACCTTTGCTGGTCTCATGTTTGTGTTTTTCTTTAGGATAGGAATTATGTGATGGAAAGAGGCTCTGAACATAGGTAGATTTCATTCACTGAATATTTTTTCAGTCCAGAAGTTCATAAAATAACTTGCAATAGAATTACTATTTGCATAAAATATTATCTGGCAGTGTTTTTTAATTGCAGAATGTAATCTAAAGGTAGAAGTACTTGGTTACCATTCTGCTGAAAAGATATGCAACCTTTCCATGTAATACCTTTTTCCTTCATACATGCCATAAAAAGTAATATGTATATGTGTGTGCTGGTGTAGGTATATATATCAGGATTAAATGAAATGAAAACGATTTTTCTTTTACAGCACAATGTAGTTTGTCTTTGGGTGTTGTTACAGTATGAACTATAGCTTATATCTGCAGTAACAATGTGTTCGTCTTGCAGTTCGGTCACAAGTATTACTTGTTAATTCATTGAGTCAATCTCAGAGATTGTAGCATATTCTCGTGCTTTAATCAATGAAGTACCATTGTTGTTTAGCTGCAGGGAAGCTACATTCCTGTATATATTTCGTTCTGACATAATTTGTATGAAATACTAAGCCTGAAATAAGGGTGTTGTGCCTGTGATTCCCCAAATCACCTCTAGTGCTTCTGGCAATGTTTTCTGCCCTCTGGCTGTCAAGAATCAGGTGTCTGAACTGCTAAGATGCAGTCATTAAAACTTACCACTGTATTAAAATCCTGTCAGAACATAACGATCTGGTGTTGCTGACTTGCTGCTCTAATGATGTTTGTTCCAGCATGTCCTCTATTGGTACCGCAACCTGACAGTGTTTCTTCTTCACCTCAATAGTGTATGTCTTGGGTAAATAATTTTTCAGTATACCCTGAAGCTTAAGAAATTGTTTAGCCTTTCTGCAGAATCTTTACCTTTGAGTCCTTTTTGAGACCTGTAGTAGGTCAGCAAGCCCCTCAATCTCACGAGCTTCTTACTTCCGATGTACTTTTTTTGCCTTTAGCTAGCTGCTCTTCACAATCTCTCTTAATCATTGGCACATTATATTTCAGTTGCAGTAATACTCATTGTTTTCTTTTGCCTTCTCATGGGAGGTTAGGCAGCAGTGCAGTGGTGTTTTCCATTTTATGCCATCTAAAATCTGTCGCCTTTATGACCTGGGCTAAAAGGAACTGATAAACTTCATTGCTAGCTGTGAATTAAAAGCAGTGTAAATCAAAGGCTATCATGTGGCTATGGTGCCACTTACGTTTAATAAATCAGCCGCCTTTTTTGAGCACATCCCTGCTAAATTTAATGTGTTAAAGACATTTTGTCCTTTTTTTTTTGTGTAGTGCTGAAAGAGGGAAGATACATCTCTGATGTTCCACCTGGCTGTATATAACTTTTCAATATATTCTGCATCCAAGCTGCTTTTGTTCCAAATGTAGCTGTTGAAAATAGATATGTGAATAACTCCATTGTTGTGAGACAATGCTGTGTGTGCTTACCTTTTATTTAAAGGAATCTGAATAGGGATTTTTATGTTAATTTTTAAACACTTAAGAAGATTGATATAATAAATTGCCAGTTGAAGCAAGGGAGAAACTAATTTGACAATGCATTGTGCTATTCAGAGATAGAAAAGAAGATGATTTGCAAGCTATGTGAGGATGTAGAGTTCTACTGAGAATTTTCTTGGCTGCCTGCCATTTTGTAAATAGCAGGTAATAAAAAGTAGTACTTAGAAACAGTTCGATGTGAGCTTTTTCCCCTGAATTACCATGGCGGTGTCTTTATTAGCAGCAATTTAAGAAGATTTGGGCCAGCAGTGACTTGTGATTTTTGTCTTACAGAAGGTAGCAAAAAAATTTGTGCAATAGATGCTTTTGCTCTTCAAGCTTCAAGGCTTTTACAACATTTCTGTTCATGCTGTAATTCTCCCGGGATTTCCATTACTTCCCTGCATACCAGGATTCTGTCTCCTGATTTAATCCATTTTGCCCATAGTTTATGTAACACTGGGGAGATACTAATATTTCAAATAAACCAATGGACCAATTAGTTGTGTAGGATCGAATATCCTCTTGATCTGTCCACCTCTCCACTTCATTGGAGAAACTGTTAAGCTTTCTTCTTAAATTGTACTGCTGGGTCAGATCATAAAATCATGGCAGTGATAGGAGGAAGTTACAATTGGGCCTGGAATCAGAAAGAAGTTGCTTCTATATTACAAATGTCTAAATAATTCAGGAGTGTTTCAAGAGGTTTTTTCTGTTAAATTCCCTCTGGGATATTCTGTTATGTGTGGCTTCCATGGTGTA